AGTTTATCCTTCTACAATATCTGATCTATAGTATATAGCATTAAATTATTGTTACGACATCGAGGTCACGTGACTAGTATCACGCCATGTCATTCTCGAACTTTCACGTCTTTTCCTTAAATCTCGTGATCTTTCTAGATATAGTGTAGTCTTGTATATATAAGACCGGCTACGAAGCGACGGGAAGGTAATGAGTAATTGAAGTGCAGTCAGATAGAATATTGTTGCGTCAGCGAGGTCACTTGTCTCGTTCTCTCGAACCTTCGGGAATTGTCGGGAGATTACTAGATATAGGGTAGTCTGGTATATATAAGACGCTCACAACGTGACAACAATGTGTGTAGGTAGTGAGTAATTGAACTGCAGTCAGATAGTATTGTTGAAGTTGAGCACGTTCGTTGTTATAGCGAGACTGTTGAAAATAAGTGTATCGGTAAAGTTGTATTCGGAAAGAATAAACCAGTTTTATTAAGTAAGGACTTGTGTCACTAAAGTTTCGTCGGAACGAAGTTACGGGAAATCAATTAACAAACGGAGACGTAACAAATTGGTGTCAGAAGTGGGATAGAAAAAAATGGAAATGAGAAGTGGCAGAGATGGATGGTCTAATTAAGGAAGGGATAGTCGAGAAATCAGAAAGTCCCTGGTCAGCTCCCGTTGTATTAGTCCAGAAGAAGAATGGGACCCACCGTTGCTGTGTGGACTTCAGGGCTCTTAACAGCATAACCGAAAAAGACTCATACCCACTGCCAAGAATTGATGATACTCTTCATGTCCTAAGTGGAGCCAGGTGGTTTTCAACTCTGGACTTAAAGTCAGGTTTCCATCAAGTAAAAATGGCTGAAGTAGATAGACCCAAGACAGCATTTAGTTATGGCCAAGGTCTCTGGCAATACCGAGTGATGCCATTTGGGCTCAGTAATGCTCCAGCAACATTTGAGAGGCTGATGGAACGAGTTTTGGAAGGCCTACAATGGAGGATAGCCCTAGTGTACCTGGACGATGTCATTGTGTTTGCAACAACTTTTGACGAGGAAATGTCCCAGCTGGAGGAAGTATTCAAGCATTTGAAAGCAGCAAACCTCAAACTCCATCCCAAGAAATGCCACTTGTTCCAGAAGGAGGTGCTTTACTTAGGCCATATTGTGTGCAAACTGTGAAGGACTTTGCAACTATAGCTGCTCCATTACATGATTTGACTAAAAATGGCCAGAAGTTTGAATGGACAATTTCTTGCCGGCATTCTTTCGAGACGTTGAAGGAAAAATTGGCCTCCACTCCACTTTTAAAGCTTCCAGATCCCTCACTGCCGTACATAATGGATTGTGATGCTAGTAATATAGGAATTGGAGAAGTGTTGTCTCAGAAAATGGGTGAATATGAACATGTAGTGGCCTACTTCAGTAGGGTTCTGAGTCGACCAGAAAGGAACTACTGTGTAACACGGAGGGAACTCCCTGCTATAGTATAGAGTCTGACATATTTCCATCCTTACCTCTATGGGGCTAGGTTTACCATCAGGACAGACCATGCTGCATTACACTGACATCATTAAAGAACCCAGAGAGACAACTGGGTCGTTGGATTGGAAAGATAGACAAGTATAATTATGATATTGAATACACAGAAGAAAAATCTCATGGAAATGACGATTGACTGAGCCTAAGACCCTGTAAAAATAACTGCAGACATTGCTGCAAAAGAGAGGTTGAACTAATTAGGTACCATCAAGGTGAAGTCAAAGTGACTGAAAAAGTTGATGATGACGAAGTGGAACCAGGTATCGATATTAAAGCAGAGCAGGAGAAAGACCACGATTTGAAGCCAATAATTGATTTTCTACAAGCAAGTGTTTTGTGCCCTGCTTGGGAGAAAATGTCTAGCTTAAGCCTTGTGACAAAGAACTATTGGGCACAATGGGACCAGTTGAAGCTCGAAGATGGCATTATTCTACGGAGATTGGAAAGTGACGACCTGAAAACAGTTATAGCGAGAAAGTTACGGGAAGTTGTGATGCGTCAATACCATGATAGTTTAACAGAAGGACATCTTGGAGCTAAGAAGACATTGAGTCACCTTCGACATAGATTTTAGTGGATAGATATGAAGCAAGATGTGGAAGAATGGTGCAGGCCATGCAGTAGATGTTGTGCTAAAAGGTGACCCAAGCATAAGGGACGTGCTCCAAAGAAGTTATATCAAGTTGGTGCACCAATGGAAAGAATAGCTGTTGACATTGCTGGTCCTTTGCCCCAAACTTGTGCTGGAAACAGGTACATTTGTGTGGTGTTGGATTATTTCACCAAGTGGTCTGAAGCATATGCAATACCAAATCAGTAAGCTGCAACTGTAGCTTCAGCTGTTAGCGATTTCTTCTTCAGATTTGGTATGCCATACAAACTGCATTCAGATCAAGGCCGTAACTTTGAATCAGCTGTGTTCCATGAATGCTGCAGGTTGTTTGGCATACGAAAGACCAGGACAACGACACTCCACCCACAGTCTGATGGGATGGTAGAAAAGTACAATTGGACAGTTGGATAGGAATTGGCAAAGTTTTGTAATAGCCGTCAAGATGACTGGGATGTCTTATTTCCTCCACCGTTGATGGCCTATAGGACAGCAGAGCACGAAGCCACTGGATAGACTCCAGCAAAGCTGATGTTTGATCGGGAACTTTGGTTGCCAATGGATCTGATAACAGGACGACCACCTTACGAAGAGTTGCATGAAAATGTGTCAGAGTTCGTGAAAGTGTTATCAGAAAGGATGGATGATATTCACCATCAAGTGCATTCAATCTTGGAAACGTCTGCTGATTCCATGAAGCTATTGTTACACCTCCGTTCATTAGTTAATTTCCCGTATAATTTCTTTGTGATGAAACTTTCGCGACACAAGTCTTTTCTTAAATTAACTGGTTTATTCTTTCTGAATACAACTTTGCAATACACTTAATTTCAACGGTCACATTACAAGTTAAACAAACGCTATAGTTCTCAACGAACGACTCACGTGCTCGACTCAACAATATGTCTCTGTCTGCAGTTCAATTACACATTGTTGTTGTCACGTCCCCCTACTGGTCTCCGTCTCGTTGGCTTCTGCTTCATGCGGGGTTCATCTGCTTCATCAGGAAACGTCTATCATTGGTAACAGTCAAATCACTGGTAATAACTTCATCAAGGGTTTCACTGTTTCTTTTCTAAGAACCGAATAGAGTTTCTTCTTCGAAAATGGATTTTTCAAGTGATACGTTTTCAGCAGCATCATTTGTTCTGTTGTTCACTTAGTCCCAACTGAAATGTCCTTGACCATGATAATACCAAAGCCTGTTGACATGCACCACCTTTGGCTTACCTCGCCGACCACATTTTATCTGGAAAGCTACGTCTGAGAGACGATCCACTATGTCATATGGGCCTTCCCATGGAGAAGACAACTTAGGAGAATTCCCTTTGGTCTTCCTGGGATTATACAACCGCACCTTGTCTCCTGGTACAAAACTAACTTCAGTAGATATCTTATCATAAGATAACTCCATCGAATCAGCAGACGTTTTCAAGTTTGAACTAGCTTGATGGTGAATATCATCCATCCCTTCCAATAACACTTTCACAAACTCTGACACATTTTCAGGCAACTCTTCGTAAGGTGGGCGTGCTGTTAACAAATCCACTGGCAACCGCAGTTCCCGACCAAACATCAACTTTCCTGGAGTGTATCCAGTGGCTCCATCCTCTGCTGTCCTATAGGCCATCAACAGTGGAGGGAGTAAGACATCCCAGTCATCTTGGCGGCTATTACAAAACCTTGTCAATTCCTGTCCAGTGTCCAGTTGTACTTTTCTACCATCCCATCGGACTGTGGGTGAAGTGGCGTTGTCCTGGTCTTTCGTATGCCAAACAACTTGCAACATTCATGGAACTCGGCTGATTCAAAGT